AGGACCAGACAATTTGCTAACTTCGCTGATGATCTCCATCCAAAGTCAGGCAGCGACGTCTAATCAGCTGGCTTCCAAGCCCACTGATGACTGCGGCATACTGTAGATGTACTTCAGCTACAGGGAAGCCCGCTACTCCATGCCCTCTCCCGTGGCAGAGAAAGACTGATACAGAGTGGGCTGGAGTAACAAATCAGCAAGACTACACTCTAAGCCTGGAAGATCCAGGCTCAGAACTCTGAGTGTAGACTGAGGTCAGTGGCTGCTCCCGGCCGCCATTCTCCAGACAACCATAGCAGAAAGCATTCCCTTGTCCTGGCCCTGTGGCTGTCCAGGTTCACCGAGCTGGCGTCAGAATTGGGACCACCAGAGCTGAAGAATCCTCTGCAAACCCACAGTCCCTTTCTGCATCCTGCTTTTTGTCATACTCCCAGTGTTTACTGTCTTTATAGGACTCCTCATACCCAATATCCTCTGAAATCTTGCAGGTAAAAGGGAAATCTATATCCAGAGTGTGTGTCTAAGGATCAGGTATCAACAGATCAGAAGAGTCTGGCCAGAGTGTGGGCTGGGTCTGTCAGTCACACAGGGCTGTCGCCTGGTGACAGAAAGTGTGGTGGTCATGAAGATGTAAGGTAAATGAAGATGGCTTGGGCTTTTGACTGCTGGCCTTGCATGCAGAAGGCACTTGGGAGCAGTGCTCTGGGTACTAATGCCCAATGGTGGACACCTGGGGTGTGGTGTGGCATGTGTGAGTTGGCACACCTGGGCCTGGAGATGGCGCATATAAGTGCAACTCACAAGACAGAGGGTGGTAGGGGACCACACGGTGGAGTGCAGTGGAGAGGGGGAGATACTGTTCTGGGAGGAAAGAGTGTGTAGAGATTTGCAGGGCGTGCCTAAGTTGTTGTCTCCTCGCTGGTCTGTGGGGATGATGCCTAAACCTAGGTCTCCAAGATTCTCTTTTAAGCTGTCTGAACCAACGTTGAACCTATCCAGTCTGGGATGGTTGCAGAACAGAAAGTAACTGATTTATTTGAAGTTTACTATGTGTCAAATACTCTTCAAATACTTATATGCTTTAATTCACCTAATCATTAAAATAAACTAGTTTATTTTAATAAACTAGCTCAGCAGACTAAAGTGCAACACTACAAGGCTAGCCACAGCCACTTCAGCAAGAGTTCGATCCCTGGCTAGCAGGGAGGTGACCCACATGGCACAGTAGACCTCTCCTGACCTACCCCCTGCTCCCCTCAGCAGTGTACTTTATTGATCTGCCTGTTCTGCTCCCTACTCTGTCTTTGGTGAATCCTCTCACCACCCCTGCATTTCTGGCCTGTACCCCAGTTCTGTATGCATAAATAAATAAATATTTTTAAATAAATAAATAAACCAGTTTATGGATGAGAAATCTTAAGTAGATTACCTTAAATCACACACTCCTAAGGGGCAGTGCCAGACCTGGACTGAAAGCAGGCTCAAAAATCTGTTATTGTTGACAGAAGTGATCAGCACTTAGAAGAGGGATCACAAGATTTCTATGGGTGGTACATGCCAGAACATTTTCAGTTCCCCAGAACTGAATGCATTTGGAGGATCCAATCAGGATGAAATCCCTACTTCAGATTTCAATCAGCATCCTCGCTGCTCTGAGGCCTGCCTCATTTTATGATGAGTTCTCAGGAAGTCACCTTGTCTGTCCCCATCTCTCTCTGTCTGTCTCTGTCTCTCTGTCTCTCTGTCTCTCTCACACAAACACACACACACACACACACACACACACACACATGCACGCACACACGAATGCACGCACACAGGAAACCTGGCCTCCAAAGCCCTCCCCCCTCCACCACCTGAAGACCTGAAGTCAATGGTGGGTGAGTAGGTTGAAAGTGTTGGCAGCATTTGCTTGGGATGTGCCCTAGCTTCTATGCTAATCAGCAGATGCAAATGATTGCCTGCCGGGAAAGGAACCTCCATCCACAATCCATGGCAAGCCAGCCCCTGCCCAGCAAACCCCATAACAGGCATGTTCTAAGGAACCTTCTAATCACCACTATCATTTGCTTGATTACCTGTAACGATGTCAAGTATTAAGCATTCACAGATAGTATTAGAACACTTGGGTGCAAGATCAGAAGACTAATTTAAAGTAGTTTTAACAAAAGAGGAATTTATTGTCTCATTGACCGAACAAACCACAGAAATGACAGGGATGAGTCATGGTCTGAGACAACTGGAACTAGGGCTGTAAGTGGCATTGGGCCTCTGCCTTCTCATATCCCTGCTTGTCCCTGCACACAAGCTTCAGTTGCTCTGTTGTTTCAGCTTTGTTGCTGAGGAAAGGATATGGTCACCTGCATATTCCTCAAATGACAAAGGACTTCCATCCAGGCGAAGATTGACCCAGAAGAAGGAAGTTTCCTGTCCCTGGGATCCGAGGTAATGAAGAGAGGAAGATAATAGTTTCTCCAGAGTGGAAGTCAGCAGTTGGAAATTTCTGCCCCAGGACAAAGGCAGGATCCCTCAACACAAAGGTTTCAGGTTAGCTTTCATTCATTCATCCAACAGACAGGCACAGGAAGACTTATGATATGTGGAGAGATGTGCTAGACACCATGACAGGGCTGGGGAGAAATAAAGGTAACAGTTGTGTCCTGAGACCTTTCACTTTATCATAAATAATTCAAGGAGGTGACATGAGTAACCAAAAGAGAGAGAGGTACTGTGAGAGGCTCTAGAACATCAGGGAAGTCTTCCAGGAAGCTGAAACCCACTGTATAAATAGGAATCAACCAGATTTGGGTTTGTTTTGTTTTGTTTTTTTGGTGGGGGAAGAAGGCCTTGGTAGGCAAAGAGGCAAAAAAAAAACTGTTCTGAACTAAAGGATCAATGTGTAAGAGCTGCAAAGAAGTCCTCGTGAAGGGGAGGCAGGCTGCAGCAGTGGTATAGAAGACACTTTGGGTCAGAACAAGGGCTTGGATTTGATCCTGAAAGCATCAGGGAGCCATGGGAGGGATGAGGAGAGCAGTGACAGTTTGCTTTCCCAATTCTGGGATCCCTCAGATTCTCTGTAGTGGATGCATCAATGGAGAAAGATGCACCTTGCATACCAGCAGGAAGGATTTTTGAAGCAGTTTTAGAAATTTAGACCTAAAAAGTAACCTGAGAAAATATCTTAAAGAAATGCCCTGGGCCCTCCCTGATGGCGCTATTGGTTAAAGTGAGGCACTATGAAGCATGAGTTTGATCCCTGGCCAGGGAGGTGATCCACAAGGCATGGCAGACCTCTCCTGGCCTGCCCCCTCCCCTCAGCAGCGTGTTTCAGTCAGTTTGCCTGTTCTGTTCCTACTCTATCACAGGTGAACACTCTGCCCCCTCCCCTACCTCTGGCCTGTATCCCAGTTCTTGTATGCATTAATAAATAAACCTTTTTTTTTTTAAAAAAAAAGAAAGAAATGCCCTGGTATGGAGTAATCATAGAAATTGGGGATAAGTGGCCCTTGAATGTAGCAGAAAAAGGAAGGCAAAGAAAGGAAGGCCTGAGGGTAGTCATGATCCCCACTGCTGGTGAATGGGAGAGGGGTATTCCAGGAGCCTTTCTTTCATCCCCAAGGACTTTGGCTTGTAATAAGGAGTTGTCCTTCACCCAGCTTCTTATTGTGTCTGGACTCCCCATTTGCAGGACCAAAACTGGATGAGGAGGCTAAGGGCTGGGCAGAGAAGCTGTACTCCAATTGGTGAGTTGTGGGGCCAAAAGTTCTATTCTCCTAGTAAGGATTCTGTGTGTCTGCTTGGTCCAGTCTGTCTAGGTGGTTTTCCTGGAGAATAAAAGGGCCTCTGGAAGAGGGTAAGAAAGGTTGAAGGAAAAGGGTCATTTGCTTACTCCCACACACATTTACCACATGCATTCTGCCATGGGTACTAGGGACCAGAGGGTCACACTCAGTGAAAGTGGGGAAGGGTACTAAGTTGGGGTACAGTGGGAGGCCAGGGGCATGGAAATGGGGCCCAAGGTGCAGGGCAGGGTTGTGGGGCTTTTCAGGACCAGTCAGAATAGAGGGACCTCAGCTGGCTCCTGTGATCCTCCCCCTGCTTCAGCCTGAGGCTCTTCCTTCTGGTCCTTGCCTTGTCTCTCTGAAACGGCCCAGCCCTCTGTGCCTGTCTCTCTATCACTGTCCCCGTTTTGCTCATCTCTCTCCTGATCTCCATCGAAATCCTTATTTGAGTCAATGGCTCATCTTCCTGTGCCTTCTCTGTCTCAGTGCCGGCATTCCTGTCTTCCTCAGTCCCCTCTCTGTCTCTCTCCTCCTTGTCCCCATCTCCATTCTTGCTTTTCTCTTGTACATGTTTTACCTTTGTCTCTCTGCCCTTGTCTCCCTCTTGCCCCCCCACCCCAGTCCGTCCGTGTACCTGTACTTCTTGTCTCTTCTTCCATCACCGTTTCTGTCCCTTTTCTCTCCCTGTCTCCGTCTCTGTCTGCTCTCTGCATCCAGGTCCCCATCCAAGGCTCCGTTTCTTCCTCGTCCTTGTCTCTATGCCCCTTCCTGGGCCTCCTCCTGGTCCCCGCCGGCCTGGGACCTCGCTGGGGGCGGAGCCGAGGGGCTGGATTGGGATAACTCGGTTATCAGAACGAATTGAATTAACTTCTTCACACGAGCGCCGCCGGGCCTGTCTCCTCTCCCTCCTGTGAGGCCGCAGATGGGGAGGCCGAGGAAAGGGGTCGGGACCCTCCACCATGGCATGATGCGTAGAGACCCAGGTCTAGTCGAGATTGGGGAGGGATGGGAACTCCAGAGATGGGGCTCCTCGCAGCCCCGCGTACCACTTCGGGAGCACTAGGAGGGTGGCGGGGACCCTTTGGGGTGGGGGTCGGGGGTGGCTGTGGGCGGGGTCTGGGCTGCCCAGGCCCCGCCCCGCGGAGCTCGCCCCGCCCCGCCCCCTCCGCGGGGTCCTACGCGTTAAAAGGCGCGCGGGCCGGGCCGGGCTGCACTTGCTTTGCACCCGAGCAGAGCGCGGCCGCGACGGGGCGGGCAGACTCGTGGGCGCTTAGAGCGGGCCTCGCGTCCTCGGCGCTTGGCGCTCCACCCCCCCATCCTGACCCCTATCTGGCCCGGGACCCCGACCCGGACCCGGCCCAGCACGGCCCCCGCCCCCGCCCCCCCGGGCCGATGGACTACTCCTACCTCAATTCGTACGACTCGTGCGTGGCGGCCATGGAGGCGTCCGCCTACGGCGACTTCGGCGCCTGCAGCCAGCCGGGCGGCTTCCAGTACAGCCCCCTGCGGCCCGCCTTCCCCGCGGCAGGGCCGCCCTGCCCCGCACTCGGCTCCTCCAACTGCGCACTTGGCGCCCTACGCGACCACCAGCCAGCGCCCTACTCGGCAGGTGAGCACAGCCTCTGCCCAGCCCTCCCCTAAATCCCAAGGAACCCCCAGCCCCTTGTCGTACGCTGCAAATGACCACGACTGCCCCTCACAGCCTCCATCCCTGTCCCGGCTAGACCCTCCAAAGCCCGGTGGAACCCCCAGTCCTCCCTATAAGATGGGGATCCTGAAGGCAGAGTTGAGCCCCACCCTCTCATCCTTCCCATTTGTTTCTCACTGCCAGATCCCTATTCCATACCCTTTGGGTCAAGAAACAGATTCCCTGCCCAGCCCCAGGTCCCTGAATAGGCCCTCCTTCTCCAGCAAACCTTTCCATCCCCAGTATCCTTGAAAGTCGCTCTTGGCTCAGCCCAATCAGCCCCCCCAGCCTCATCACCTCCATCCCACTCCATTCCCTACACCAGCAAGGACCCCTGCAGCGCAGCTGCCCAGATGGGAACTTTCCTAGACCGACACCATCAGGCCCCTCCCACCCCCTTTTGAGCCCTTTACACCTGTACCCAAGCTCTCCTCCTGCATCCTGAAAATACCTCATGTGACAAGAAGAAAAGGGTGACCAGGTCATTAAACCACATTAAATTCCTGACTCTTCTGGAGACTCCCTGGCTAGAGTCCTACATATCCCAGAAGCAACCCCTGCAACAGCTAGGCCCCTTGACCCAAGTCCTCACCTGAATCCACAACCTCAGAGAACCTCTCAGTCATCCCCTTTCTCCCCATTAGTGTTCATCCTGCCCCACCCAGTCTCCTTATCTCCTCCTTTCCTGGAAAGACCACCAGGAATCAAGTAAAAGATTGGGATGTGGGAGGCAGGGAGAGGGATGCTCTAAGATAGGGATCTGGGTTTGGAAAAATGAGAACCAGGGAGATAGAGCCAGAAACTGGATCTGGGATGGGGAGATTGGGTACTCAAGGCCAGATGGGGAGGGGGCAAGGATTTGAGAAATGGAGACAGAAAATTAGGAGATGGGCCCCAAAGAGATGAAGATGAGATGGGGGCAGGAACAGTAAAATATGAGCAGAGATGGTAGAAGTGGGGACCCAGGATTGGGGAGATGCAGATAAGAACTAGGGACGGAGACAAGAACTATTGGGAGATGAGGACCAAGGAAAATTGGGAGTAGAGGTGAGAAAGATGGGGATAGGAAGAGGGTGTTGGAGACAAGGATTAGGGAAGATAGAGAACTAGAGATGGGACAAAAATGAAGGATGGGGTAGAGTCCTGGAAAATGTGGAGACCTAAATAGGGGGTAGTGACAATGATGGTAGTGACAAAAACATTGTGGGACACTGGGGACTGGGATGGGGTAGATGGGAGAGGAAAGTGAAGGGGGTGAGACAAGGATGAGAGGAAAGCAAAAGTGAAGGGGGTGAGTAGCTAGGGTGAAGAAAAGCAAAGAGAATATGGAGAACCCCGGGTGGTAAGAAATGAAGAAGGCCCTACTCCATGGCACAAAGACAGTGGTCCAGAAGGAAAAAGTTGAAGAGAAATGCAGACGGAGGGAGCTGAGGAAGAGGCGGAAGAGACACCTAAAGGGGAATGGGGATGGGGACTTAAAGTAGGGCTGAGGAAATGAAGACTCGGAAGGAAGGGGAGGGAAGAGTGGGGGGTGGAGGAGGCAAATTCCCTACAGGCAGGGAGCCCGTGGTGGAGTGAAAGTAGACCCTGGAAGGAGAGGAGTCTCAAGAGCTGAAGTGGCGATTGGTTCCCGGGACACTCGCGGTCCTCCGAGGTCTGATAACCAAAGCTAGGATGGATGGGACCTGGAGTCAAGCACGGAGGCTGACTGGAGGACATACAAACTAAAGGGAGAGGAGCTCGGACTGGTGGGAAGTGGAGGGAACGCTAGGAGATGGAAGACAGCTTGGCGATCTTGACCGAGGAGCAGATTCCGTTACCCTCGATCTGCCGCTGGGCTCCTGGTCTGCTGTTATTAGCCTTCATTCACTCTCGGGTTCCACTGAGCTCTAGGGAAGACGCTGGACCGAGGCTGAGAGGCTGTAGTGAGAGGCCAGGCAGAGGCGAGGGATGCTGAGCGATCCTGTCACACAGCCGGTTGAACACGGCGCCTCACACCCCCCTCCTCGTTGCTCCTTTCCCAATCCCACACACACCCATAGTGCCCTACAAGTTCTTCCCGGAGCCGTCGGGCCTGCACGAGAAGCGCAAGCAGCGGCGCATCCGCACTACGTTCACGAGTGCGCAGCTCAAGGAGCTGGAGCGCGTGTTCGCGGAGACCCACTACCCCGACATTTACACGCGCGAGGAGCTGGCGCTCAAGATCGACCTCACTGAGGCTCGCGTGCAGGTGTGTTTGCGGGTTTGTGTGGGGGGGGGAGGAGGCTTTGCGAGGTGGGAGGGGGTGGTACTACGGAGATAACTATCAAACATCGGGGCACCACTAGACAGAAGGACTTCACCACGGTGGCCAGCAGGTGTTGTCTGGAAGCCGAGAGCTTAAAAGCTAGGGGCCAGTTCTCAGACCAGAAGTGCGTTGGGCAGGAAAAGAAGAACAGCCTGTGATAGACTGAAGGACTTGGGCTTGGCAGACCTAAGGTCTTCTGGAGAACTGAATTAGGGGTTCAGTCTCACGTTTTCCGTGGCAGAATCTAGCATGCAGAGTGATGCTTGAGGAGCCAGGATTGTGTCCCAGTGGCTGAGGGGCCCAACTAAGCAGGGAAGTAGGGGAGAAGCAGTCATTGTCTCAGGGTCCCTGCCCACCTCTGCAGTTGTGAAACCCCTGAACCTGCCAAGTCCAGGGTTCCAGGCAGGTGGTGCAGGGCCCAGGACTGCTGGGCCACGGCAGACTGTTGTCTATCTTACAAATCCGGTGTGTAGATGTTGAATTGACCCTGTTTTATTGGATACCTTGGTTTCCCCAAGTACCCTAATAGGCTCTCCTTCGCAGTGAGAAGCTCCAAGCAGAAACTCGCAGAGCTTCTTGTAGGAGGGAAGGGAGTAGCCAGTGGGAAGATTTGGGTGAGGAAGAGAGCAAAAGCGAGTCCTCTCCAGAAGACCTAGAACACTGGGAATCTGTGGGACCTGTGGAGGAGCAAATCCTAAGGGGGGTGGGGGGACCCTAAGGACCTAGAGTGAGCGGAGAGGGAAGGAGCAGAGAGAAGGCTAAGCGGAAAGTCGCAGAAGGCAAGGAGCAGAGCCCAGCGGTGCAGGGCTGTTGGCCCAGACCCAGCGCCTTTGCTTTTGGAAGTCTCCCTCCCGCCTGGCGGTCCCGGGTTGACCCGCCCCTGTGCCCGCAGGTCTGGTTCCAGAACCGCCGGGCCAAGTTCCGCAAACAGGAGCGCGCCGCCAGCGCCAAGGGCGCAGCGGGCGCGGCAGGGGCCAAAAAGAACGAGGCTCGCTGCTCCTCAGAGGACGACGACTCCAAAGAGTCCACGTGCAGCCCCACACCCGACAGCACTGCATCGCTGCCGCCGCCGCCAGCACCCGGCCTGGCCAGTCCGCGCCTGAGCCCCAGCCCGCTGCCTGCTGCGCTGGGCTCAGGGCCCGGGCCCGGGCCGGGGCCACAGCCACTGAAGGGTCCATTATGGGCTGGTGTAGCAGGCGGTGGGGGTGGAGGACCCGGCGCCGGCGCGGCCGAGCTACTGAAGGCCTGGCAGCCGGCGGAACCCGGCCCCGGGCCCTTCTCGGGGGTTCTGTCCTCCTTCCACCGGAAGCCTGGCCCTGCCCTGAAGACTAACCTCTTTTAGCCGCGGGACTCTGGAGGCCCGTGGCCTGCCCCCAGAGCTGCCCCTACCCCTCCAGGACCTGACTGTACCTCCCCATCTTCCTGGTCGCCTGCCTGGAAGACCCCATTCCCCACCGCGTCTGACCCCCCAGGTGTGTTCTCCCTAGCTTTGGAGATCAAATCGGGGCCACTCTCTTCCCCAATCCCACCCAGCAGAATGGATTACTTCTCACTGGGACTCCCACCAGGAGAGCCGGGAGACCCTTTTAGCTTGCCTTTCTTTGGAACCGGGAACAAATAACGCCTATCTGTATTCAAATGTTAGGGTTGGCAAGCATCAACAGTCGGGGCTCACCCCGGTTCTACAGCTGACTGGGTCACCACCTTGGTGATCAGCCACTGCCCCACCCTTTGGGCACACTGCACTCCCCCATCCCCTTGCAGAGGCCAGTCGTCCCTGGGATAAAAAGCAACCTGAAGGGACCCACAGCCATTGTCCAACAACCTTTCCCACCCATCCCCATGCCCATCCCGTCTGGCGCTGGGAGGTAGACCCGATAGCCCAGTGGAGGGGATGTCAGGGCAGCGGGACAGAGAGGCTTACTCTCCTGATTTTTTTGTTGTTGTCGTTCTTTTCCTTTGAAAAACTTGTAATTTATTGAGGTGAGTTTTGCTCAATCCAAATAAAACTTAATTTATTGAAGATATCAAGCTGGCAACCTTGAATACCCTGAATGGGGAGAGGCTGCTCACAAAGCCCAGTTCCTCCTGTGACAAGAGAGGGGAGCTGCAGCTGCTGCTTCCCCAGCGCAGGGCAATTCTAGACCTGGAGACAGTGAGAACTACGCAAACAGGCACTTTATGGCCGAGATTCACCCCCCCACCCCCCAACCGGCCCCAATAATATTGAAGTGCCGCCCTCCCTAAACCCACACAGAAAAGCTTAAATAAACCCCAGCCCGGTCCTCTGGTCCTCGGGCTATTCCTTCATTTCCGGACTGACACCCTCCCCCTCAATGGGAGTTTGTTAAGAAATCTGAGCTGAGCCCCTTGCCCGGTGGTTCAGGTCAGGTGGGGGTGAGGAAGGGGAAGACATACCCAGTGGACCCCCCCAGGCACCCTTGGGGGCTGCAAGAAGGGTCCAGGAAGGGAGGACAGCACCAGAATTACCAAGGTCCTTGGGAACCATGACAACTGACCTCCATGCCACCCCTACCCCACCCTACCCCCATACTAAGTTTAAGGGCAGGATGTCCTAATTAGGGCATTCCAAATTACTGGGCAGTGGGGAATGCAGATCCCCAATAAATAGGCAGTAATGCCCCTCCCCTTGTAACTTTTCAACACTGGGGCTATTGGCGGGGAGGGGCTCCTTCGTAGGCTGTAAGGGCGCCGAGTTCACAGCTTCGAAGTGCCACCGCAATCACTTGCTGAGCTGCAAGGTGTCCAGGAGGAGGCGCTTGTGAGCCGGGTCCTGCACCCCAGCCTCCTCCAGATCTTCCTCGGTGATATCGCTGTAAAGGTAAGAGAGGCTGGGAGATGGGCCAGGTAGTAGAGGGGCCCCTAGCTCCGCCCCCAGGGCTAGATCCACCCATCCGCGTCCAGCTCCGCCCCCACCTGAGAAACTCCAGGTCGTCCCAGCCATTGTGCACCAGGCCCTCCTCATAACGCTCCAAGCCGATGGCCCGCAGCCAGGCGCCCATGCCAGCCTCTCCCAGCCCGCCGGCCCGCCCACCCTGTGGGCACGGAGCCTGAGGGAACAGGGCATGTCAAGGAGACCACCAAGGGTGCCCCCCAAAGAGAAGCACTTGCACACAGTCACATTCTATCACATGCTTTGAGGGCTGGGGGTAGGGGTTGATAGTCAAGGCATGGGGCTGGTGATTAAGGTATCCACCAACCCTCACCCCAACTCCTGGGTGCCCAGCTCAAGACAAAGTGTTGGATGGGAGCACAAAAGAACACCACAGTCCATGCGTAAGCACACACCTCAGGTACACAGACCTCCACTCCCAGTCCACACACCTCCTCTGCCAGGTCCTCCTGGATGCTCTCTCGGATGCGAGGAGGAGGGAAGCTGAGAGGCCGGCCATAGTCTGAGGCCATTCCCCGGGGTGCCTGCAGCTCCAGGGCGCTTGGCAGGAGCACTGAGCGGCCAGGCCCAGCAGGAGCATAGTCCACCTCACTCAGTGTCTTGGCCATCTGCAGCACTGAGCAGGAGCGATCATCCCCACTGACTACTTCCCCCAGGAAAGTGCTGGTGGCAGAGGGGCCTGGAGGCAGTGGGGGTCTTGGATGGGCTTTGGGAGGTGGTGGGCCACGGGTTTCACCCCCACCACGACCCCGGACCAGTGGCCCTGGCAAAGGATCCAGATTGGGGGGCAGGAAGATGGCAGAGTCTGGTAGTGGTGGAGGTGGAAAGTCTGGAGGGGGCAATGTGCCCCCAGACTCCTCATCTGATGAACTCCCCTCTCCCACACGGGGGCCCCGGTGGCGCCCAAGCTGCGGAGCAGGTACTGTTATGGCCACTTTGTTCTTGGTGGCAGATGACACCGGCGCCCTGGCAGGTGAGGGTGGCTCCGGGGGCAGCAGCTGGTGTGGGACCCCTTCAAGGACGTAGTAGGCAGGGTTATTGAAGCTGTTCTTGGGTGGGGGAGTCGTTACCCCTTCCAGCTCTGGCACCCCCTCTGGCTTTGACCTGGATTTGAGAGCAGGATAACTGAGTCAGGACCCAGAAACCCTAGTTGGTAGAGTGAATGGAGAACTGGACCAGGAGTCAGGAGATGAGGCTCCTGGTTCTAGACTTGCCTGTGAGCTTGAGCACATCACTTTCCCTTGCTAGCCCTTGAGAAGATGGCACAAGTAAATAGATAACTGCTAACCTTCCTCGTCTTGTTCCCCTAAGATTCTCACATCTTTTGTGATTGTGTGTAACTAGAATCTAGACTTAAACAGGTGAAAACAAGTGCAGAAAGCAAGGCAAAAAAGGCATCTCATGAGGATAGCCAGACAGACTGGAGAGCCCACAGGCATCTGAAGTTAATCTACTGAGGAATCTTAGGCATTCAAACCTGAGGCTAGAAGGGAGGTGACTGGTAACAGCTGAAGATAAGTGAAAAAGCACAAACTCTACCTGGGAGTTTTTATTTCAATTCAGGAGACAATGGGCTACAATTAGAAAGCAAGCCTCACTTTTTGGACCACGGGACACTGTTTCCCCGGCAGGTTAAATCTGTGTGGAAAAACATTTTCTGACCATCAAGTATGGAAAACTATTAAACACAATTGAAAAAAGGTTTCTTTCTTAACCACATGCTCAGAACTTTGCTAATACTAATGTACACTGGGAATAGCTAAGAAAAGAATCTAGCAAGAACCAATTCCCAAAAGCAATTGACCACAAACCTATTTCCAGTGGGTGCTCTCAGAGAACAGTGTTCCACAGAACCCACCTAGGAAAAATCCAAGCTGAGGCACATGCCTTCTCCAAACAGAAGGCTTGAGCTACGTCTGTGAAGTCTGTGTACACAGAGAGAGCTGGTGCAAAAACAATTTCTGAATTCTATTTTTTTAAGACAGAACTGAGAGAGGAAAGGCTGACTGTGCTCCCTTTGACTCAGAGAACCACACCTAAGGAAGACCTGGCTGGCTTAAGAAGCCACGGGCTCAGGGCCCAGCACCCAACTTTGGGGCCGCAGAGACCCAAGCAGATGATTCCTGAGAGCCAAGCATAGCAATGGAAAAGGGGGGCCATTTCCTCCTCTCACCTGGGGGTCAAGGGCTCCTCCCGGGGTGCTGCTCGAGGTGGGGCAGGGGGCCTCCCCGTTGGTGGTGGTTTCTCTGGTTCTTCAAATAACTTGGACAGTGGGCAGGAAGCCTCTGTGGGGGCTGGCTTTCGGCTCCCTGACCTGCCAGGTATGCACAAGGGAGGAGAAATGAAGCAGGGGATAACCAGAAGCCCCTGAGCACTCTTTCAACACTGCACCAGCTCACCTGGGCTCCTGGCTGCTGCGGGACACAGAAGGGGCTTTGCTCTTTGTTCCTGCCTCATCCTTATCAATGCTGATCCACTCTGGGGGATGAAGAGAAAGGAGATTCAGAGGGAATGTGTGGCCCTGGATCCCTCAAATACCCACTGGGCCTGTCAGGCCCTTCTCAGTTACTCCTCAGGGCAGGTCCACCCCCAGCTGTGGAGATGACGCTCAAGATCCTGGGGATTCCAATCTGCCTTCCTTGCACCCACGGTCCTCCCCTCCTAGACCTACCCACACCACCCCATAACATGCCCCACACCCCTCCCAATGGAGCCCCCACCGTAGAGTCGCTCACGGGTGCCCAGGCGCTCTGTGGGCACCCGCACCTTCATGGAGCCACGGATGTTGCCTGTTTCTTCACCACGGTGGGACAGGAAGGTTAGGAATTGCTGTGCTGTGCTGCCAATCATGGACTTGAGCGCCACCACGCACTCCCCTGAAGGGTAGATGGGGCAGAACACCAGATGTTAAACTTTTCTAGAGTCTACCCGGCTCTCTGTACCCATTGGCAACTCGCACCCCTCACCATAGGATTCGTAGCCATCCATGGACTTGACAGTGAGCAGAAGATGCTGGTCCTGCAGGTACTCAATGTCAGCCAGAATCGGCTTGAGCTGGGGAGCAGAGAAGCCCAGTGAGTATCCACCCCCTCCTGCCCGACCCCATTCACCCCAACCCTTAGGCCCCTCCATGCTTGCTCACACTCAACTCTTAAGAAGAGGTCCTGAATCTTTTTGTAGCAGACATTTGTGCATGACCTTTCATCACAATTAACACCACCATGGTTAACTAATTTTCTGCATCCCCAAAGGCCAACACAGGGTCTGACATTAGCAAAGGCTCAAGTATTTACTGAAGTAATAAATGAACAGACTGCAACTTGGCCACTCTCACCCCAAAGAAACATCCTTATCCTCATTCATGCCCAGCCAAACATACATGGGCATGTGTGCATACATGTGCTCTCTGCCCATCAGCTTCCCCCCCCCGCCGCTGACACACAATGCTGCACACCTCCCAGGTGCCCTCACCCAATCTTGCCTACAGCCTTACCGTGGGCAGCTGGCGCGAGGACCATTGCACCTTGAGGAAGTTGATGTTGTCACTGCTCTGGGCATCATTCTCAAAGCTCTTCTTGTACTCTGGGGTGGGGGACACCCAACTGAGTGCCACCTCCTGGCATCCCTCTAGGTAAGGGACTGACTGCTCTGGGAACCTGTACCTCCCTTCGCCCCTGGCCCACACCCAGCCCTGGGCCCCGCCTGACCCTCCAGGCAGGTGGAGTAGAACTCAATGAAGAACTTGGTACGACTGGCTGTCTTCACAATGGCCTCAATGCTCTCAAACTCAATGTAGGCCTGGTCCGAAGTCTTGGAGAGCCCTGGGGGGGAAGGGAGGAAGGCAAACTAGAGGGTTGAAAAGGGCATGAGAGGGTAAAGGAGGAATGACACACCAAGACTGAGAGCTCTGGGACAGGAAATTAGGACCCTGGCAGAGGAGGTGGGAAGGCCAGGAAGGGTCTCCCGCCTCCCAAGTAACCATGAGGGAAACTCCAAAGCCCAGACCCTGAGCCAGGGCAAAAAGACAACCCAAGAATGAGAGGCCATTTAAGAGCAGACTGGGGACCACAGTGCTTGCAGAAATTGCCTGCCAACAACCCACCACACCACTAAGAATGCTCAGGGGCACACTCATGCAGACACATGTATGTTTACACTGAGACACACACACTTGCAGGCATGACTGCCACACTTAGGCATACACACACACTCATGAGCATACACTTATTCAGAACCATTCATGCACATACATTTCCATACACACTGAGGTATATTCAAATGTACACACATCCCCAGGCTACCACCTGTGCCCACTCAGATGTGCCATGTCCACAGGTACATCCAGAAGAGTTACCTTTCTTGGAGATGAACTGAGAGGTGACTCCCACCTCAAATGCCCCAAACACAGGTGAGTGGTCACTAGTGACGATGTCATCAGTACAACCTGGGGACGGGTGGACAGGGCTCAGGGGAAAGCTCTTTCCTCAATTCTCCCACTTCCCAGAGATAGGAGAGCCACCACCCAGGTCTGTCTGTAACCCGTTCCAGAAGACTCTGACCATAGGAATTGCAGATGATGTGAGTCTCGGGATAGGATTTCCAGAGAATCCGGTCACACCATGAAGGCACATTGGTCCGGACCTAGGACAGGAGACAGTAGCATAGTCATGGTCAATAGCTGGGCATTGCTCAATTGATGAGGCCCCCACTCTCACCACACTGTGCCCCAATGCTCACTTCCCTCAGTGGATCCTTCCAAGACCCAGCATTGCCCCTGAGGCCTCAGAGGGGCCATAAAAGCTGGACTCTTGACCACACAAGCACTGTAAGTTCACTGCAGCCTGGGGAGTCCCCTCAGGCACACTGTGTTCTCCTCACTCACCCCCGTTGGCTTCTGTTTGTGCCAGGCATACGTGTCCCGGGAACCCCGCTCATAGCGATAGGTGGGTGGGAAGGAGATCTCCTCTTCACCTAGGGAAGACAGGACAGAGGGGGATTAGGAAGGCCCTGAAGACCAGGGATACCACAGCCCCCTAACCCAAGACACCCTGCCAGCCCACACTCACTGAAACGAAGGAAGACCTTGTGCTTTTCCCGTTCCAAGTTGAGCTGGTCCACCCTGAGCAGGGGCTCAAACTCCTTCCTGCTGATGTAGTTCAAGATCTCCTGGAATGAGGACACAAAGGCTGGAGACCTTCTGCTCTAAGCCAGAGCCAGACATGAAAGCCTACCTGGGCCCAATCCTAGCCTCCCTACCAGGCCCTGCTCGCACCTGGATGTCCATGTCCAGGCGGTAGTTGAGGTCCCCAAACCAGAAAAGGTGAGTGAAGCGCAGAGAGATGTCAAAGGCACTGAGCTGCCGGTCGCCCAGCGACAGCAGCCGCAGGATGTCCAGGTAGTTCTGGTTCCGTCTATGGTGGAGGTGGGAGGGTCCCCAGGGTCAGGAATTGGGAAAGTATAAAAGGCAAGAAGTCCCTGTCAAGGGGCATGAATGGGATAGGCCTCAGAAATGGGGTAAGGGTCAGGGATGGAGTAGGGGCCAGAGTCCCTCTGAAGGACGGAAGGAGTTATGAACAAGGTCAAGGGCAGGGACAGACAAGACCTCTTGAATTCAGGTAAAGGAAAAGGGGTCTCCGGGTACAGAGCTGTAAGAGGGTCACGGTCTGAAGAAGGAATAGGTCTTGGGTGAATATGGAACGAAGGTAAAGAGATAGTTGGGAAGGCACCCCCTCACCGGGCAGTCTTCTCATTTCCCGAGGTGAGGTGGCAATTCACAAAGCCAAACGAGGTGCCATTGAACATGAAAGAGACACCCACGGCCCCCTTGTTTCCTGTCAGGGCAAGCAAGAGAGGTAGGCCTGAGTCACCTTTAGAGGGCTCCCCATTCTCCCACCTGTTCCTAAACAGTGGGAAGAATCTGCCGGGACCCTGGATGTCATGGGATAGGCAGGCCCCTGAACACACATTCACACTTTCCCTGGTGACCACATGGGGCACACACGGTCTATCTGGGCAGCTTGAGTTTGCAGGTGTTAGCCCTGGAGATCACAGGAGATCTCAGGGATGAAGAACATCCTAAGCGGAACCTATACTGGGGGGGATATGGAACTACAAATGAGACCTGAACACTCTGCTGCCTGCCTCTACCACTTAACAAGCTGTGTGACCTGGGACAGGCCATTCAACCACTCTGGGCCTGAGTTTCATCACCTATGAAGTGAAGGTAGTTATCCTGGTTCTGCATTTCTGGAGGGACTGGGAGAGATTTAGAAGGATTTAACTCTACAAAGTTCAAAGTATTTTCTATATGGGAAAGTGGAAACTACCCAAGGGGAGATCTGCATTGTAAAGGAAGCAGGAGGCAGGGACAGAGGATCTGTCCACTGTGCTCACCCAGGGTGTTGGCAATGCCAGTCTTCACGCTAGATGTACTAACATGACTGATGCGGTTCTCATGCTCTGGCTTCACCAGCACAGCCACCTTGATGTTCCACAGTGACTGCATGGCAATCTGGAGAGAAAGTGCAAGGTGACCCCTGCCCGGGGCTGGGGCCTCCCCTCCCCAGCCTATAACTGTCCTGTCATTCCCAGGATAGGAAGGCCTGCTATCCCTTATTCCTAAGGAGCCAGTAAGAAACAGACATGAAGGATTCAAGCCAGATTGCCTATAGATCAGGTCCAGGGACTGAGTGAGATCCAGTTAAGCAATAGTCTCCATGGTCAGTGGATAGTTTTGAAGAGAGGGGACTTGACAAGATGACCCCCTCACCGGGCGGTAATCCAAATCTGTGAGCTCCTTGAGGCCCCCACGTAGCAGGTCCAGCCACTCACGATCACCCACAGAGTTCTCCTGGGTCCCAAAGACATAGATGTCATGGGGTATGGTCACTGTGACCTCATCCAGGGTCTTCCCCAGACCTCTTGAGGTGAACCAAGATGTCACATTTTTTGGAGGTGGCACACTTCCTGAAGTGAAAAGGACAGGGAATGGTCAGTGCCTATCCTGGTGCCATTCTTCTATCCTACCCCAACCCCACCTGGGCCTGACCCATATTCCAGGTGCCAATGAAGACAGAGATCATGTCGGGCTCATCTTGCTTGGAGTGCTTATTCTTCATGAGCTGCAGCAGCTGGCAGAAGGCCTCCCGCTTCTGGGGGGACAGCAGCCAGTCAGGGGCAGGTGGGTGGCTAGGAACCCCACCCCCTCCACTGGGACACCTGCTAGGTAGCCGATACCATAAGGGAGGGTCAGGCCCATCTGGTTCACCACTGTATACCAGCTACTCAAGCACAGAACAGGTATTCAATAAATATTTAGTTCATTAACTAAATATTCAAATCCACCCTCAGGCCTGTTCTGTCAGCTCCCTTCTTACCAGAAGGGATGACATGTTTACATCATGTATTCTCTCTCTTTTCATCCAGTGGGGACCCCTGTAGCCTCCAATGACCTTGTCCAGTGCATTACTCACCCGGGCACTGACAAAAATGAAATCCTTGCGCTGTGTCCGGTCCTTCTCCTTCTCAAAGACTACACCCAGCTTGTTCTGGACACGCTGAGACTTAATGAGCTGGCGGACTAGGGGATGGAGGATGGGTCACACTGACCATGCCCTGAAACCCAGGTTGCCCTGCCCATCCCTCCCTGCTCAGGCTCTGGCTCACTGCGGTCATGTGTGAAGGTTGTCCAGTCTTCCTGTGAGTCACGCTGTCTTCGAAGTAGCACTAGCCGCCCACCCTCCACATCCACGCTCAGTGTGAACTTCTGTGACTTTCCAATCTTGGTCAAATCACCCAGGGTCACATCTAGCTTCACCTGCAGGCCAAGGAGATGGGCAGGCTGCCAAGAAGATCTCAAGGCAGGCAGCACTCCCTTTACTGCCAAGAGACCCCTGCCCCATGAGGTCTGACCTCACCCCCCCTGCCATGTACCTCAAAGGCCTGCACGGGGATGGTCTTGGCCTTACGTGTGGATGGCTGCAGTGGGGCTGGCGGGGCTGTAGAGCTCATATCCTGTAGGGCCTTGAGGGCCTGGAAGGGTACAAGGCAGAGTAAAGACAAGGAAAACAGGGAAGGCTGAAGCACCGAGGGCACAGTTGAGGCTGGGCTCAAAGCTACACTGGCGGATTCAGGGTTGAGATCAGTTAAGCCAATTCAAGCAGTCAGGAACTGGTGGGTTAGGGTTTAGAGGTCAAGAGTCAGGCCACCTTCTTCTGGATGCCTGACAGGAAGTCCTTTAGCACCGACAGCTTCAATACCAGGCTCTCTAGCTCCTGTTCCCCAGTCTGTGCTGGATTCTGGTGGGGGGTGGGGGAGAAAGAGACTTGTACGTGGGCCATCAAACAGGAGGTCCCCCACCCATCCTTGAACATAAGCCCATTCCCCAGAGATCTACCCAGTCTCACCGGCTGCTGCAAAAGGCGGGTCACCATAGGTGAGCTCTGCTGGTCAAACACCTTGGTCAGGATCTCCAGACCTGACAGGACCTTGTCCACCTCGCTAGGGAAGAGATCAGTACTTACCACCTGACCCAATTACAGAAAGGGGGGCTGAGGTGAGGGCATTTGCAAGGCAGGGGAGTGGGTGAGGACAGGTCAGAGGCGACAGTGAAGTGCATGGCGGGTGTGGTGAGTACCTGTGCAGCCTCCTGCATGAGGTGGCGAGGGTCCGGGTAAGGTGGGGCAGATTGCTGGCTCCGCCCCGCACAGCTTCCAGGTCCAGCCCGTAGCTGCCCTTCAGGTACTCGTGTGAGACAGTGCTCAGCCCATTGGGTGCACTTCAGGAAGGGGTTAAGAAATCAGTGGCAGCTCAGCTGACTCTGTCCCAACACCCACCCATCCCTACAGGAGATGGTGCTATGGCAACCTGGGTGACTGCCTCTGGGCTGAGGTAGGATAGGGGTTCCTGGGGGTGAGGCAGAGGTTTGGATGGTCTCTCCACCTTTGGGGAGGGCAGTTCTCAGAGGAGAAAGGAATTTCCTGCTCAATGGAGAGATTGGGGTCTCACCTCTCAGCAGCCGGAGTTGTAGGGGTCTCAGGGGCTGGCGGGGGGCTGCTGGGTCCCATGGGGGCAGAAATGCTGGTGGAGCCAGAACGCGGGGGCAGCGGGGGCTTCTCATCCTCCCCATCTGTGGACAGGGGTCAGTGGGGCAGCAGTTTGGGCCTCCCATCCTCAGATTAGTATAGGGGGTGATTCCGTGGCTGTCAGAGACTTCCATGGAAAAGGGAGTAAGGGGCTCTGCCATCATGGTTAGGGTTTGGGGGAAAGCTGGGAGAAAAGGGTCGGAAGCAGTAGGCAGTGTCTAGGGACTGGACAGGGAGGGGACTGCACACCAGGCCATACCCGAGGCATCTCGGTCATCGGGCAGGTCTGGCTCTCGCTCCCGTTCCACAGGCAACAACAGGGCGCACACCAGGCCCTGGTTGGGCTGGGCATACAGACCGATGAGCTCGCCCAGGGTCTGGAAGCGGCGCACAGGCACACCCTGCGAAGTCTGCAAGCCAGTAAGGGTGGAACGAGGGTCAGTGAGTGAATTAGTCCCAAACCCTAAGCTGGAGTCAGAGTCCAAACGCCTACCTGTACAGCCAGAAAATCTTCTCCATCAGGTAGAATTCGATATGTGTGCACATGCTTCTGATACCTGAAGGTAGGGTAATGGTCAGAATCTATGACACCCAGGTTGGGGTCCAAAACCCACAGTACCCCAGTCTTTGTCCCAAACCCCTCAGCTTGGTTTTGCTCAGGCTATAAAGGTTAGTGATGCGGCCAGACTTCTATCCTGCTAGTGAGAACCAGCAGGAATGACCAGCCTTCCCCACCCCCATTCAGACTTTATAGGTTCCACACCCACTACATGGCCCAGAAAGCAACAGGCAGTTCTTTTGTGGCTTCCACAGCTGTCTAAACAGCCCCTCTGGGCTGTGGTACTAGTCTGGGCCCCCAGCCAGAGTTAAGAGTCCTCAGAAGCCCGGTTAACTTCTGTGTGCATCCGTGGGTGATGTGCTAACACACATACAGGTCTGTCTGTGTTTATGTTTGGCTCTGTGGAGTCAGGTGTGTCTGGACAGTTTTGGTGGGGAGTTTGGTATATCATCCTAAGGTTTTTCTCTTCCTTTCCCTAGACATCAGAAAATTGGGATGGTCCAAAAGGGTCTCCTATGTGAGACCTGAGCCTCTCGGAGCCCCAAGCCTAGGAGGGGTGCTGACAGATGGCAGCAACAGCTGAGCAGGTGACAGCTGAGCTGGGCCTGTGAGGCACAGGCCACACGCGACAGGGGTGACGGGGGTGGAAGACTCCTGCAGCCACACCTCAAGGTAGGCTTGCCCAAAGGAGTCACCCCAGCCCAGTGTGCTAGGCAAGAGGGGGAATTGGTAGCAGGGAGGATGAAATGCCTGTTTGAGTAGACATACACCTTGGCAACAGGTCACCCTCTCCCCTCAAGCAAGCCCTCTCTGGAGATCTTCCGGCCACCAGCCAGTACAACCTATGTGGGCATTTACGTGTAATCAAGTATGATGGCTTGTGTAGTGTGGGTCTGTGTTTATAACAATAGCATCCCATTAACTGAGTCCTGTCTCTAAGTATTCAACATCCCATGACATTTTGAGGCAATTACTATCAAACCTATTCTCCAGGAGAGGAAACTGAGACTCAAAGAGGAAAAGCAATGTGCCTGAGGTCACAGAACAAGTAAAAGACAAAGCTGGGATTTAAAGCCAAGGCAGAGACCAAGGCCTATATCTGGCCTGCCCACCAGATTGTCTGAGCCTGTTGGCAGGGATGTGTCCTGAATGTTCCTGTGTACATCCTGGTGTATATACAGATAAGCAAAGACATTTCTGATAGCCCACCCGGTTTCCTTAGATACAGGAGTAGCAGAGTCAGCTGGAAAAGCTGAAGTCCTCACAGACAGAGACCTCACCCCTTTCCTCCCCTCCCCTAGCAATGGAGCCAGCACTCTTCTCTCCTGGGACAATAATGTTGCTCACCCAGACACAGGCCCAGCTGTCCCCCTCCCACTCAACAGCTGACCTAGCACCTGCCTCTCTCCCCTCTCTAATTAGGGGGTACACCACAAAGGGCCTGGGAGGCAGGACTCTAGGATTTTTATCTGCCGAGGCTGACCCTCTTTAGTCCCACCCTACCGGCCCTCAGACTTGAGCCATAAGCGGAGACTTATAAGCGTCTTCTTAGGCCCACTGCCTAGGCTAGGTTCAGTACCATCAACATTCTGGACTGCATGGTTTTTTTGTTGTGAAGTACTATCCTGTGTCCTGTAGGAAGTTCAACAGCATCCCTGGTTTCTACCCACTAGATGCCAATAGCATCATCACAGTTGTGACCATCAAAAATATCTCAAGGCATTGCCAAATGTAAAGGACTAGCCCCAAAGGAAAAACACTAGCCTAAGCAAAAAGGCCCTTAAAGATACAAAGACAGAACAGAGGGGAAGACAAAGGGAGAGGGGTTTGGGAGGGTTCACCTGGCTAAGGAAGAACAAAATGAGCTCTAAACACAGCCTCTGCTGAGTTCCCTTTCCAAAGACCACCTTTCATTCCCCAGAGGAGCCCACCCAGTATCAGACTGCAGCACTCAGGGGGCAGGGCAGGAAGAAGGCCCCAGGCTGAAAGTGGAAACCACTGACACTACTGTCACACAGGCTGATGGGTTCATACACAGGTTGATGGGTTCATGTACGGCAGAGAATCCTCAAAGAGCTGCCAGGTCTAGCTCGATACCCAGCACCCACAGCTCTGGACTCCAGCAGCCAGGATACCCAGGACTGGACCTCAGAGACAGGGCATATACATCACTCATTGATTCATAAAATAATGACTTCCCCTCCCCTAAAAACCACCCTGCCCCCATCACCAGTCATGAATGATCAGACAGGCTCTACCTCAGCCTGGGGCACAGCAAGACCCTCTAAGGAGGCTGATGGGCATCCTTATACCCCCCATTAGTCCCTCAGGTCCCAAACTATGCTACACCTACCACTCAGATACCCAATCCCTATATAAACAGAAATGCACACAAGCGTGAAACACACATCATCACCCTCCGCCCCTAATGCCAGGAGGGTGTCTGAGAGCATCTACCAGGGACTCCCAGCATTTTTCTCCCTCCAGGCAACCCAGGAAGCAGGACCCCACATATTCTGCCTTCATCGCCCCAGTAGGGCCCCCCGATACAACAGGAAGGAAGTGCCCCCAGCATCCTTTCTCAGCCCCGGCAAAAAGCCAAGGCCCCTACAGTGGGGGGCGCTGGCGACCCACAATCCAGGTCCTTCCCCACACTCTCAAGGAACCTGAGCGGCGCCCCAGCCCGCCAAGAACCCCAGCAGTACTCACAGGACGCAGAGCGCAAAGGCTCCCGCCACGCTCTCGCTGTCTCGGACCAGGAAGCTGCCATCACGGCCCGCCCGGGCCAGCAGCTCCTCCGCTGCAGCACGGCTCAGATCTCGGTGGTACCAGGCGGGGGCCGGGCTGCCCAGCGCGGCCGCCTGTCCAGCGTCCCCCACCCGGGCCGCTCCGGCGTCGGGGTACCCCGCTGGCGGGGCTAAGCCCCCCGTAGGTGGCCAGCGCGGCCGCCTGTCCAGCAGCCCCGGGACCCGGCGCCCCGCACGCCGAGGCCATGGCCCGCGCCGGGCTCAGCGCCGCCCGAGCCCACCGCCCCGCGCCATCTGCCCCGGGACGCTCGGAGCTGAAGCTGCGGCCGGGTCCCGGGTCTAAGGATCGGCGGCCCGAACGGAACCCGGATTCGTAGCTCAGCGCTCCGCCGCGCGGGCCGCCTCGCTCGTAGCGCCGCCGCCGCCGCCGCCGCCAGCAGCGCCGGCCTCAACTTGAAGAGAAAGAAAAGTTTGTTCAGAGACGACGGGGGAGGGGCGGGAGCGGAGCGCTGAGGCCGGCGGCCGCCCCCTCCCCCTCCTCTGCCCGCGGCCCGAACCGCCTCTGCTCCCAACCTCTACTCTGCCGGCCGGAAGGGTGTCCCCCGCATTCCCAAAGGACTCGGGACCCCTCCAGAACCCAGGAATAACCAGCCTGCCAAACCTCGCAATAGTCCTGCACCGCGATCGACCACCCCAAAGAGATACAGCCCCCCACCACCCCCTTCCTTATTGAAAGGAGTATCCCCCCGCCCCCATCCTGCGCCCCGACACTTCGGGAGCCCTGCCCCCTCCCCGGAGAATTTGGCCCTTTCAAAACTTGCAACATGACTCCAATTCCCATAAATGCCCAATTCCACCCTAAATCCTTTTGGCCCTCCTACGATCTCGCAGAATTAAGTTCCCCAAACCCGCGAAAGACCCATGGCGAACCTCCTCTAGAGCCCCTCTACCATCCGAGCGACCCGAATTCCCGATTCCCGTGAAGTCCAGTTCCCTCTTAGATTTGAACCCCCAAATTTCCACTGGTCCATTCCCCGACAGATTCCCTGGAGAGATTCCCTCCATTGAGATGATTCCAACGCACCCTCAATCCACTGTCCTCTAATCCCTGCGCACATTCCCTGCAGCCCCTCTAAGTCTGGGCACAGCCCTTCCCCCAGCACCCCCTTCAGTCTCGGCCAAGTTCCCTGGCACCAGCCGCTACAACACCCGCAGGCCTGGGCCTTGGGTTCTGCAGTACAAGACGAGGCTTCCCCATGCCCATTAAGAAGAAAGTTCCCTCGACCCCCTAGGCTCCTAACCGTTCCCCAGAGCTGCGAAGTCACCCGCAGGCCCCCACCTCCTGCGCTGCTCCGGTGCCCCCTTCCCTGGGGAAGCGGCCCTGGACTTTCAGCGGCCACTTAAGATGGCCATCCTCGGCCGCCGCACCCCCCTCGCCTTCCGCCCCGCCCGCCGCTCCGCCCCCGCAGCTCTCTCTAAAGAGGGGGGTGGCACCCGCGCCCTGCTGCTCCCGGCCCCCCAGCCTGGATCGCGCAGCGGCTGGCCGGCGGAGTGACCTCCCGCAAGGCACAGCGGCTCTCCGAGCCTTGCCGTCCCGCTCTGTGAAATGGGGCTATGTTACGAGGGCCGACTCAATGGGACTGTGCTTGTAAAGCTCTCGGCACGGGGCCTGGCGTCCAGCAGGCGCTCCCGAACGGCGGCTATTTTTATTATTAATTAAGGAGTAACGAAGGTGACAGCTGTGTAAACTGTAAAGCGCGGCGGCTGAACGAACGGGTATTATTAGCACCCGCCCCCGCCCCAGCTATTCGCTCCAAGTCAACAAACTTGAGTCTTTGTGGGCGGGACCGGGAGCAGAGCTCCCGAGACCCAGTAAGCCGAAGCACCCCTGGGCCTCCTCCCCTTTCAGGGGACGCGAGAGGGACGCGGCCTCCGGAAAGGGGGCGGGGACCACCGGAGGGTCCGTCCCGCCCCTTCCCTCGAAAAAGACCTAGCCGGTGGCGGCGTCTCCCGGGACTCCGCTTCCTGCCCCGCCCCTCCATCCCCCGACTCCTTAAAGGCGCAGGCTTCCTTCGCTGCGTCGCTGCTGCCAACTTCCCGACCGCGGCTGCGGGGACCCCTTTAACCTAGGAGGGAACTTTCATTGTAGAATCGAACCTGTTGACACATCCAGGATCTGTTCCCACGAGCTGCTTCTTCAGCTTCAAATACGCAGTGGTTTAACCCTGCTGGAATAAAGCCTGAAACGTCGGCGGGGAGTGGGGGTGGGGTGGGGAGGGGTCTGGCCTTCCAGACTAGAAATGTGACTAACAAACCTACACCCCCACACACCCCACAATGTCTCCAACCCGTCCAGGAACCCAATAACTCAGCCACCCAGTGCCCGGCTTCCCCCATCAGTCCCCTGTGGGAGAGAAGGTGAGTCTGGCTTAAAGGGAAACTTAGGTTTGCGGCGGAGACCTGCACCGGGAGCCCTGTGACCGCATCCCCGCGTCGCCGGAGGCCCCCGGGCTTTGTTGGGGCTGGGGCGCGCGCTGCCTCAGCCCACCGCCTGTAAGCATTCCGCCTCCCCAGGCGCTAGCCGAGTTTAAGCACCGGAGATCCCAGGGCTCCCGCAGCATCCACGGACTGCAGCGAGGGGAGTTTCCCCGCCAGCGGCCCTGCGGCCTCTAGCGCCGCGGGGATCGGGTTACACTCACTCGGGTTCCAGTCTCAGCTTGATCACAAACCTGTCTGGTATGCTCAGACCTATGTCTTTGTGAGGATAACTGCAACTGGACTGTAGAGACTAAGGTTTGCCCAGAGGGAGAGAGGAAGCAGAAAGCCCAGAAATCAACTCGGGCCCAGTTCCGGGGGGCTGTGCCAAGACAGAACAACCCCCTCAGATAGGCACATCAGCCAATCCTGGGAGGGAACAAAGGTGCCACTGCAGAGGCCTAGCTCTCCTGCCCTGGGAATCCCATAGGAGTTACCAATCCTCTTGTAGCCACGCCCCTAGAATACTGACGGGCAGACCCAATTCAAAGCTCCCGAATATTTCCTTTGCAGAAACCTAAACTGTCCTCTCCATCTGTTCTCTTCCTTCTCCCGGCGTCCCAAGCCCCAACTCTGTCCCCTCACCCCCGCTGGAAATCCAGACCCTTCTCTGAATTCCCCAGCTTCCCATAGCAGAACTAAGCACCAAGAAAGGCCGACAACTGCTGGGGAGATGGGGGGGAGGGAGAGGAGAAGTAGGAGCCTATATAAATAACGAATCCCTGCACTTGGCTCTCATTTGGGGCTACAAGAGCATCAGGATTCCTGAAGACACACTGGGCTCAATGCTTTCTGGGCAATAACTTCTTTTTATTTCACAATCCTGAAGGAAGAAGGTTCGGAGAAGTCAAGCAACTGCTTCACTTACACATGGTATGTAGAGACATTCATATCTCATTTCTCTAATCTGTAGAGATATTCATATCTCATTTCTCTAATCTGAAGACCCCAAGAGCAATGGACTCTACCCCGTGCCAAAATAATAAAAACAAAAATTTTAAACCCCACAAACAAAATAATTCATCAGACATAAATGTGTCTGTCTGAGAAACCCCTGAAGGATAGAGGAATGGACGACAGAAAGAGATGTGTTTGCAGCTCCCTCATTTGTGGTAGCTAAGCAGAGCCCAAACTGAGAACTGGCAAAGGGATGGTCTGGGGTGGGCTGATCTGAGCCAAGGAGCAAGAATTGCAGTCAGACTGAGTATAGCTGCAGAATTCACAACCATGGCATAGAACCTGCCCAGAGCTAGGTCAAATAACATTTGGAGGCAGTGGCCACTCCCTTAGCTGAAGTTGCTGACCTTATAGGAGTGACCCCAGAGGGCCTCACAGAGGGGCATGGTGGGGAAGAAGGATGAAAATGTGTGGCAAGTGTCCTACTGGACACTTGTTAAGTCCCACAGAGGGATAGAGGGTAGACACACACATTCAGCTTCTGAGCTCAGAACTCATTTGTGATCACCCCCAGAAATCCTCACCCAACCCCAATCTTCAAACCCTTCTACAAAGCCCTCCTTCGTCTCCCTGCCCCCACCCAACCTGGAACTCTCACCTGAGAATCAGCCCCAGCTCATGTGCCATTTAATCTTCCAGTGTAGGAGATGCAGCAATCTTCCCACCAGTGCTAACAGTCCTCTTTGCATAAGGGCACATCACATTAGGGAACATTTTTATGCCAACTCTGGTTCACCTGGGTGGAGGTAGAGAGGGAGGGTCCTTCTCAGCTGGGAATATTAACAGCCACAAACTTGACTGAGCTGGAGGATAGTCTTCTGGGGTGGGGTGAGGGGGACCTCATACCTGCTGTATCCAGGGCCTCAAGTTGGGTGAGGACTCAGAGAGACAGGTGTCCTGAATGCAGTGGTTCTTGCAGACAAGTTCTATCAGGCCACAGAGCTCCCAGTTAAAGTTATACAGGAGGAGGGTGACCTTGTACAATCCTGGCTGCTGTTGACAGAGCAGCAGGTGCTCTTCTTCCAGAGACTGCACTGGGCAAGAAAGGTACAGGACTCAACAGATGCACCCTCCACAGCTGTCTGCCACCTCCCTCCGGCCTGTCCCCATTTGGTTGACTCTTCTGCCCAGAAAGGTTGTCCTAGGAATGCCCACTGTGAAGGCCCCTCTTGTGCCTGACTTGCAGGCCCTCCTGTATTGGGAGAGACTCAATCACAATAGTGTATCAGGGGTGTGGATACCTGGGAGAAAACCTCTGGGGGTGAACAGTAGCTGTCAGTTACAGTGCTTTATAAAAAGGTCTTGATTCATTAAGGAATAATTACTGAATACCTATTTATGCTATTCTATGTGCTGGAAATATATCAGAGAACCAAAAGGACAGAAATATGTGTTCCTGGAACTTATATTCTGGACATGGGAGACAGTAAGAAATTGAAAGAAGAAAAATGATATGTCAGGATCTGACCAATTATATGAAGAAAATTACGGCAGGGAATGGGAATGTGAAGTGTGGGGTGATTGTTGACATTTTAAATAAGGCTGTTGTGAAAAGGCTCATTGGAAGGTGACATTTGAGCAAAGGAAGAAAGGGAGTGCTATGCAGTAATAT